ATTTTATGTTATGTCGATCTACCTTGCTGGGTTGGAGTGTTTGTAGCTTTCCTAACTGTGTTAATAAAATATTATAAATACAGAAGGTTTTTCTTAAGTGTAAAAAGAACAGGAGTACTTGTGGCACCTTAGAGACTAACAAATTTATTAGAGCATAAGCTTTTGTGGGCTACAGCCCACTTCTTCGGATGCATATAGAATGGAACATATATTGAGGAGATATATATACACACATACTCTCTGCTTTTCTTTTCTCTCTGTATGTGTGTATATATATCTCCTCAATATATGTTCCATTCTATATGCATCCGAAGAAGTGGGCTGTAGTCCACGAAAGCTTATGCTCTAATAAATTTGTTAGTCTCTAAGGTGCCACAAGTACTCCTGTTCTTTTTGCGGATACAGACTAACACGGCTGCTACTCTGAAACCTTTCTTAAGTGTGAGTGTTGTAACCGTGCACATCAGGGTTTCCAGCTGAACAGAAATTCTAAGAATACTGGGTCTGATCTTGGGACAAGAACCTACCAAACCTCAGAGTTTTAACTGGAAATTCTTAAATAATCAATACAATTAATACACAATCGATAGATCAAGCAACATGTGCTAATAATCAAAATGTCCATATACATAACACAGATCATTACCTGTTCCTATTGGACATTTTTTCATCCAACAAGCATTCACCAGTGAAGGGGAGTGTCTTATTGCATTGCTGTTGCTGAGCATTCCACACCCTTTGAGAGCCCTGTTGATATGTGATATATTTTTGATCTACGTGAGCAATTCAGAGTACTTGTTACATTATTTGGATAGTGGCCAGTTCTCCTTCAACCCTGACACTACACTAAGTTTTCTCTAGCAGTGGCGTGAAGGTGAAAAGTTCCAGATTTCAACCACCCAAAGTTTAGATGTGATCAGACCCAGGATTTTGGAGTGGGCCCATCTTTGGTTTTCTGAGGGGTCACTGATGAAAGTTAGTTGGCTTTGGAGGGACGGCCATTTGTTTTGGTTTTTTGGTGTATTTGTTGAGGAAACACAAAGCCATCTTAATTGCCATGCACTCACTGGGGAGTCCAGGAGCAAGGATGTAGACGGTCCATGAAAGGAATCATCACAGAATGGAACATGGCAGATTCCCTGGACTGCTTTCTACTGTCACAATACTATAAGCCTTGCATGGTTCCAGGGAACTGAATATGAAAGCAATTTTCAGATTGCGTATGAAGCAAACTTACTGTAAAAGGAGTGGAGGAAGTGACAAGTAAACCTGCTGATGCAACCCACAAGGTCTCACCCATGGGATGTGTGGTTCTAGATCATGTGATTACCATTTCCATTCGTGAACCACCATTTCTCAATCAAGCAGGCAGTAGAAATGCTGAAGTTTGACCCATACAAAAGGGTCATGAGACCTGGGCCTAAGGAGCAAACGAGTTGGGGATGCTGTTTAAGGTTGAAGAAAAGCCCTTTCATTCCTGATTTTTACTTTCAAATTTCAGAGCAAAAGGAAATCAGTGCAAATCTGAAGATGGGACTTTCTAAAAGTGGGAGGGGAGAGAAGTCAGGTGTTTTCCCATGAGGAAAGACATAAGTCTCATGTCATATTCACATATTGGTGTAGACTGTGATATATGACAGGGGTCACTTTTACTTTAGTCTATATAGAGTCAATATATGATCTCTTCCAAGTCCATTATGCAAGCCAAGGAGTGAGGCAGGCAGAGAGAGGAGCAGCAGCTTTGAGAAGAGACTGGTGCACTGGGAGTGCTGTCACAGTGGAAGGGGAGGTTATCCCTTGCAAAGACTACTGAGCTATTAGCCTTTAGAGCAATGTAGGCCCGTAACCCACAGGAATCAGGGCAGAGAGCACATCAGTTTACAGGTGTTGAGAAAACTTTGTGAGAAAATAGGGGTGGCCTCACTTTTCAACTACAGATCTATAAAAAGGAAGTGAAAAAGAAGAGACAACATGTCAGAAGCTATTACTGGGAAGGCTGCTCTCAGACAATGGTGAAAAAAAATGGCAAGAGATCTCGAGTCTCACAAACAAGAAGCTTCGTCTTTAGTTCTCCTTCTGGCACTCACAAAGGGCCTTTCGGACAACAGGGCAAGAATAAGAATGGGCAATTTTATTTGCTGCCACAGAAATTGTAACATTAAGAGAAGTCGTCAAAATTCTCTGCGGAGCAAATAAAAGCAGACATTCTCCCTAGAGAGATCAGCCTGTAACTTTGTTTTTCTATAGTTTAGCAATCTCCACTTTATTTGAAGTGATGTTGATACATTTTTAAAACCACAATTTGAACGCTGCTGTTCCTGCGGCAACACAGATTCTGATCTTCACTGATTGTCACTCCAAATACAGACCCTTTCACTGCTGAGGCCTTGTCTTCTACTGCTTTAACAATACTGCTGTAGTTACAATAATATAACCCCCACTGGTGTCTATATCAGTATAAAGGTGCTTATACTAGTGTTGCTATTCAGGGGTGTCATTTCCTGTGGAGCGGGGGAGTAGAAGGGAAAGGAGCAGCTTCCCTCCACCGTCAGACTTTTCATAGATCTATATGCTCCACTTCCCCGTCCCTACCCAAAGACTTTGCAGCTTATAACATAACCACATATAGTGTTCTCTACACCGGTACAACTCTCACCCCACCCTAGAATTTCTCTGAAATAATGCCCCTGTTGCTATTCCTGTACAAGAAAGGCAATAAGCAATACCAGTAAAAAGCACCTGAAATCCACACTAGGGGTTGCACCCATTTAACTATTCTGGTAGAAAAATCAACTTCCTGATAGAAATACACCTCTACCCCGATATAACGCTGTCCTCGGGAGCTAAAAAATCTTACGGCGTTATAGGTGAAACCGCGTTATATCGAACTTGCTTTGATCTGCCGGAGTGCGCAGCCCCGCCCCCCCGGAGCGCTGCTTTACCGCGTTATGTCCAAATATGTGTTATATTGGGTCGTGTTATATCAGGGTAGAAGTGTAGTTAAATTGGTATAAAAACTGTGTGTAGACAGTTTAAATGCAGCTAAGGTTGGTAGTAAATCAAATGTGTAGCCCTTTGCAGTCTTTGGCCTATATGACTGAGTGCTGGCCCCAGTTCTATTCTAAGGTCTTAAGTGGGACTTAATTTGTGCATTGTTCCTGAGCTGGCCTTCTCCACAGGGAGGAATTTCACTCAAAGTGAATAGGCTGTTGGAACTCGCCAGCAAAACTGTATTGCAAATAACCAAGGATTGGAAAACACACTGTTGTCTGAGACATTAACACACCTTTGTGAAACTTGTGTTACATTTGCAAATGTGTATTTATTTTTAAAGCATGATTTTGCAAAGAAAAATGGAAGACAAGCTGTTCGAATGTCATTGTGATACCTTAAACATTTGTTTCTCCACCAAACAAAGCGCAAAACAGAAGCTTGAAGGAAATTACACTAAACACTTCCCAATAGCTGACTAAGATACATAAACATTCTCAGAGAAATAATTACAACTATAGGCTGAATCCACATAGGATAGTAAATAGAACAGTTGATAGCACAGGAGAAAAACTTGATTTAAAAAAAAAACCTAATAAAAATTGCATTGTACAGGCTTGAATATACACTTAGGCCCCAGTCCTGCAAAGACTTATTATGCATGTGCTTAAATGTATGTTTCAATTGGAGTACTTGTAATGCATAAAGTTAAGTGTGTGTGTATGTCTTTGGCAAAATACAGTGTCTAG